AAAAATGAACAGCAAAAACAACGGCTCGGCTAAAATAAAACGAGGCTCCGAAAATCTATATGAATTCAACTTAGCAGCATCAAGACTCGATGTTTCGCAATCAAGAGTTCCAATCCCCGATAAAATACCACGATTCACAACACAACGAAAGGGAACACAAACCAATAATTGTCTCGACTAACCTATTGGGTTCTGTAAGGTGTTAGTGTTATATACTGAAAGCTTGGCTTTGGATGTAATATCCCGACTTTTTATCAGTATAATAATATTTTAAGTTCCAATATTATTTTTCGGAGTTAATTAATTTCAGTTATTTCAGTCGAAATTACCGGAACTATTTTCGACGTACCGTTTACGTTCGAAATAATTTTGGTAATTTAGTATTATGTTTAATTAGATAATTAAACATAGTTAAGTGATTAATTTAACTTAATCACGAAATTAGCTAATTGTTCGGATTTTATTCCGAGTTCATGTTCATAGTCGTGCATTGTTGCTATTACCGTGTGCATTGTTCATTTACGTGCTATGTATAAGTGTTAATATTATTTTGTTCAAGTTCATGTGCATGACGTGTGTGTGTGTTCGGTCCAAGTCCATGAGCAAGCCGTGCGCTCCGCGCGTGCACGTGTTGTGCATTCGTCCGAGAGAAACCGCGCGCATGGAAGTGGGCGGAGTGACCAAGGTGTTCTTGTCCCATTCTTCAAGCTAGAAGACCGTGCGCCGTGCAAGTTCCTAGGCGGGAGTTTTGTCCTCAAGCTAAATGTCGTGCGTAGTGGGCGGAGTGTCCAAGATGCTTGTCCTATTGTCCATAATTCCGTGCATCTCCTTAGCATTTAGTGAGTGTGTATCCGTGCGCCCATTTTGTCTCATTGCTCCCCAAGTATCCGTGCACTCCTTCTTGTATTTTTGTGCGTGGGAGCTCGTGCATTTTGTCTCAAATGCGTGCATGTGAGGGGTCTTGTGACCGAGCATCTTTTTGTATTTTTGTCTTGGCTTCCACGTGAGGATGACCCCCCCCTCATTTTCTCCGCCCATCATTCGGCTTTTAAGTGAGGACTTGGGAAAAACTTGTGCATTTTGCTACTTTTCCCTCATAATTGCCGAGAGAGTGTGAGAGTTAGCG